ACAAGATTTTCTCTTCATAAAGACTGTGTCGTGGTCATTCTTACTGACACTGTCATGGAGAGATGCATCTGCAGAATGCAGATTGTTGAGTCTGTTCTTCCCTCTTGTTGGTTGATTCACCGCATGCCACAGACCCAGATAATGCCCTTTAGGACTGAAACTGTTTGGTCATTGTAGTGCTGCCAAGCCATTCTTAGTCATAGTCGTTGAAGTCCCACACTCATACTTCATTAAGTGAATCTGAGAGTAGGGTCTATGTCAGGTTGACTAATCTGTGAGAAAGCTTTCCCAATTCTGGGACCAACCTCCACATATTAGTAAGGTTGCCTCGGTTGATGCCTTGTGGTCATTCAGTTTTATTCCTTATTTCCAGCGTTTTGGTAATCAATACAATTGAGTGGCTTGGTAGGCCTTTTTAAAGGTCAATTAACGAGTCAACCACATTGCTGTACATATCAGTCAGACCAGGTAAGGACAGCAGACATCATTCCATAAAGGACATTAGTGAGCCAGATGGTATCTATGACAACTGACAATGATTTTATAGTCATCATTATACTTTCAATTCTAGATATTTCAAAAACTCAATCCTACCATCTACCTTCTGCCATCAAATTCACTCCTTGTTAAATTTTAAAACTATACTAAGTTTGCCAAACAGAATTTTCCTTTTGTAAAGCATGTTGAATCAGTTTGTTTGCATTATAATTTTCTAAATGCCTAGCTACTACCTCCTCAATAATGGATTCCAGCATTTTCCCCAATAACAGGCGTTATGCTACTTAGCCTATGGATTTCTGCTTTCTGTCTTCAATACAGACATTACAATTCCAGTTCTCTGATCCACGAGTGCATTTCCAGGATCTAAAGAAATTCTGGGGAAAGCATACAAACAATACATCAACCATCTCTGCAACTATTTCTTCTCAATCTCTAGGTTGCAGGTCATTATGCAGAGGGAGCATGTCTGACGTTAGTCTAATTAGTTTTCCAAGCATCTTCCCAGCAAAAGTATATTCCAATGAAAAGGAAGGACTGTAAGAAAAGGGGTAATCTGCCATGGGTGTCTAAAGAAATAAGGGAGGCTATCAAATTGAAAGAGAAGGCATACAAAGTGGCCAAAAACAGCATGAAACTAGAAGATTGGGAAAACTTTACAGGTCAACAGAAAGCCACAAAAAGAGCTCTAAAGAAAAGCAAGATAGAACATGAGAAAAAACTAGCACAGAATATAAAGACAGATAGCAAAAGTTTCTATAAATGTATAAAACGAAAAAGAGTGGCTAAAGTAAACGTTGGCCCTTTAGAGCATGAGAAGGGGAATTTAGTTATGGGATATGATGAAATGGCCGAGGCATTGAACAGGTATTTTGTATCGGTCTTCACAGTGGAGGACACTAATAACATGTCAGTAATTTACAAAGAGACGAAGGTAGGTGAGGACCTGGAAACAATCATTATTACGGAAGAGGTAGTGTTGGGCAAGCTAATGGAGCTAAGGATTGATAAGTCTCCTGGCCCTGATGGAATGCATCCCAGGGTACTAAAAGAGATGGCGGGAGAAATAGCAGGTGCACTGGCGGTAATTTTCCAAAATTCGCTGGACTCTGGGGCAGTCCCAGCAGATTGGAAAACAGCAAATGTGACGCCACTGTTTAAAAAGGGAAGTAGACAAAAGATGGGGAATTATAGACCAGTTAGCCTTACCTCTGTAGTGGGGAAGATGCTTGAGTCTATTATCAAGGAAGAAATAGCAAGGCATCTTGATAGAAATTGTCCCGTTGGGCAGACGCAGCATGGGTTCATGAAGGGCAGGTCATGCTTGACAAATCTTTTGGAATTCTATGAAGACATTACGAGCGAGGTGGACAATGGGGACCCAGTGGATGTGGTGTACCTAGATTTCCAAAAGGCCTTCGACAAGGTGCCGCACAAGAGGCTACTGCATAAGATAAGGATGCATGGCATTAAGGGTAGAGTATTAGCATGGATAGAGGATTGGTTGACTAACAGGAAGCAAAGAGTGTGGATAAATGAGTGCTATTCTAGCTGGCAGTCAGTGACTAGTGGTGTGCCTCAGGGATCGGTGTTGGGACCGCAATTATTTACAATTTATATAGATGATTTGGAGTTGGGGACCACGTGTAGGGTGTCAAAGTTTGCAGATGACACTAAGATGAGTGGCAAAGCAAAGTGTGCAGAGGACTGTGAAACTTTGCAGAGGAACATAGATACATTGAGTGAGTGGGCAAAGGTCTGGCAGATGGAATACAATGTAAATAAATGTGAAGTCATTTTGGTAGGAGTAATAGTAAAAAGTTGAATGGTTAGAAGTTGCAGCATGCTGCTATGCAGAGGGACTTGGGTGTCCTTGTGCATGAATCACAGAAGGTAGGTCTGCAGGTACAACAAGTAATTAGGAAGGCAAATGGAATTTTGTCCTTCATTGCTAAAGGGATTGAAACTAAAAGCAGAGAGGTTATGCTGCAGCTGTGTGCAGTTTTGGTCTCCTTACTTGAGAAAGGATGTATTGGCACTGGAGGGGGTGCAAAGAAGGTTCACTAGCTTGATTCCGGAGTTGAGGGGGTTGGCTTATGAGGAGAGACTGAGTAGATTGGGATTATATTCATTGGAATTCAGAAGATTGAGGGGGGATCTTATAGAAACATATAAAATTATGAAGGGAATAGATAAGATAGAAGTAGAGAGGATGTTTCAACTGGCAGGTGAAGCTAAGACAAGAGGGCATAGCCTCAAGATTAGAGAGAGCAGATTTAGGACTGAATTGAGAAGGAATTTCTTCACCCAGAGGGTTGTTAATCTATGGAATTCCTTGCCCAGTGAAGTAGTTGACGCTACTTCAGTAAATGTTTTTAAAAAAAAGGTAGTTATTTTTGAACAATAAAGGAATTAAGGGATACGGTGAGAAGGCAGGTAAGTGGATCTGAGTCCACGAAAAGATCAGCCATGATCTTATTGAATGGCGGAGCAGGCTCGAAGGGCTAGACAGCCTACTCCTGCTCCTAGTTCTTATGTTCTTATGTTCTATGTTCTTTTCTCTAGTAAAAACCAAAAGAACTGCGGATGCTGTAAATCAGGAACAAAAACAAAGTTGCTGGAAAAGCTCAGCAGGTCTGGCAGCATCTGTGGAGGAGAAAACAGAGTTAACGTTTCAGGTCCGGTGACCCTTCCTCAGAACATTTGCCATTGTCACCAACCATATTACTTCTTAAACTATTTTTCAAGCCTACTGTATTTAACTGTGTTCATACACTTAATCCTCAATGATAAGTGAAATGCAACTATTTCATTTTCAGTTCTGAGGAAGGGTCACCAGACCCAAAACGTTAACTCTGTTTTCTCCTCCACAGAACTGGAGACCTGCTGCCAGACCTGCTGATCTTTTCTCTCGTGATTGTTTTTAAGTTCTTTTTCCTTCTTGGATTTGTATTTCACTGGTTTTTGTGTCTTCTTCCATGAAGACAGGTATAAAAGACTTGTTCAAAAGTCTCTGCCATTTCCTTCAGCGGCATTATTAATTCTGTCCCGCACTTTAAAAAACCATTTACTTTAGCTGTTCCTTATATACAACCTGCAGTTCTTACCATCTTGCTAGATATTCTCATATTCTAATTATTCTCTTTTATTAATCACTTCGCTACTTTCTAAACTTTTACCCGTTTTCTGGCCTACCACTAAGTGCAGCATTAGAGGCACTTTCTTCCAATTTGATATATCCTTGTCTTTCTAAGTCAGTCACGGATGTTTCATCTTTTACATAGTATCTTTTGTAAAAGTCAGAGTCACACAGCACAGAAACAGACCCTTTGACCCAACATGTCCATGCTGACCAAGTTTCCTAAACTGAACGTGTCCCATTTCCCTGCGTTTGACCCATATCCCTCTAAACCTTTCCTATCCATGTATCTGTCTAATAGTTTTTCAGACGTTATAATTATACTCATTCTATCACTTCCTCTGGCAGCTTGTTCCATATATGCACCACAGTCTGTGGAAAAAATTACCCCTCAGGTCCCTTTTAAATCTTTCCTTTCTCACCTTAAACTTATGCCCTCTAGTTTTGGAATCTCCTACCCTGGGGAAAAGACCCTGGTCATACACCTTATCTATGCCCCTCATAATTTTATAAACCTCTATAAAGGTCACCCTTCAACTTCTTACACTGCAGGGAGAAAAGTCCCAGCCCTTCCAGCCTCTCCTTATATTTTAAATCCTCGTAAACTTTTTTTGCACCCTTTCCATTTTAATAACATTTCTAAAGCTGGGGGAACAGAATTGTTCACAGTACTCCAAATGTGGCCTTACCAAAGTCTTGTACAGCAATAACATGACACCCCAACTCCTGTACTCAATGCTCTGACCAATGAAGGCAAACATGCCAAACGCCTACTTCACTACCTCTAAAGGGCCCAAAGTTTCCATGCTGTATTCCTCTATGACTCTACCCTATGACTCTATAGCAGTATCAACACTGCTCCTTTAAGGTGTGACAGTTATTCCCTGACGAAGGATTTCAGCTCGAAACGTTGACTTTCTGGCTCCCGATGCTATCTGACCGGCTGTGCTTTTCCAACTCCACATTTATTGACTCTAGCTTCCAGCATCTGCAGTCCTTACTGTCTCCAAGTTAACAAAAGACTTTACTGGCAACGTCTACCAGCAAGGTTGAGTCACCACAGAAAATGCACGTAACTCATCTACCCACCCTCCAATCACCACTTGCCTATGTGACATGGTCTGCAGATTGTGCACTGAATTTATCAGCTATCTTAGAACCCACTGAACCAGAATGAAAGCCAGTCATTTTGATTCTGAGAGTCTACCAAAAGAAAAGAAGTGATGAGGTGCAGTTCCTGCACACTACTGTACTCAACTGCTGTCCCAACTCAACTGGATTTCTAACATATATAAACATGAAAATTAAAACTTCAATTTAAGATTACCATTGTACTGAAAATGGACTGTGTAGAACACATTACCTGTGAACTGCTACCATCAAATAATACATGGACAGCTGTTTTCACTTCTGAAATCCTGTCTTTCATTGGTAGCCCCTGTAATGAAATAAAACAACCCTGTTTCCTAAAGCAATGATATATTCCAACAATACATCTGTATTCTTATATTAATGACTGATCTAGTTTGTAGTCTGAATACTGCACTGAGTTTCAATGGTTCTTCAATCTACCAACTGAGAAACTTTCAAGATGCAAGACAGAATTTTTGTTGTAATGTCACTTGAAAAGTAAAACTATACCACATATTTAGCTTCAGTCAACAAATCTCACAAAATAATATAATGACACTGACAGCAAACTGGAGGGACTGACCTCCTTGAAAGCAGTTACATCACCAGACTGGACAGATTGTATCCTACACTGTTAATGGAAACCTGGGAGGACACAGCAGATGTCTGATGATCAGTTTCCAACTCACATTAAATCCAGGCAAGATACAAAAAGGGTTGAGGTCGGTGTAACATCATTCAAAAAGGGACAGGAAAAATAATTATTGGGCTGTCAGTCTGGCCTCAGATTTGGGCAAAATACTACAATCAACACTGAATGACAGGATTAACTGTTACTTATAAAGGCATTGATCAATCAGTGATCATTAACATTATTTTGTAAAGGAAAGATTATCTTCTATTAACTTAATTCTTGTGTTTGGGGAAATAGCCAGGAGGATCGATGAAGGTCATGCAGAGGATGTTGTCTGCATAGATTTCAGTAAAGCACTTAAATTGGTCAGAAAAGTGAAATCCTACAGGATACATGGGAATGTGGTGAGGTTGAATCAAAACTAGTCAGTGGCAGACAACAATAGTCAATACATATTTTTGCAAAAGGAAAAGGGTTTCCAGTGGTGTTCCACAAAACTCAGCTTAAGTACCTTGTTGCTTACAGGATATACTAATGTCTTGGAATTAAATATGGAAAGCATCATTGGGAAAATTTGCAGACAACACAAAAATTTGCTCTGTATTTGGTGGTGTTAAGGATAGCCGTCAATTCCAAAATAATGACAATGCTTTGGTTGAGTAAGTGGGAAATTGTCCAAACGTAATTCAACTCAGAGAATTATGAGGTATGCATTTGAGGAGGAAAACCAAAACAAGGGACTACACAATAGGAGGGGAGAGTGTATTGAGAGGAGTAAAGGAAGTAAGAGATTTTGGAGCGCATGTCCACAGGTGCTTGCATGACAGGTAGATCAAATCAATAAGGTGGTAAAGAAGGAACATGGGAAACTTTCCTTCATTGGCAAGCATTGAATATAAAAACAGAGATTTAATGTTGGAACTGTACAAGAAACTGGTTAAGCCACAACTGTTATATGTTAGGACATAATTGGTCCAGCAAGAACACAAAGGAGATTTACAAGAATGTTGCCAGCTAGAAAATTGCAGCCATGAGGATATGTTGAATAGACTAGAGCTGTTTTCCTTATATCAGAGAATGCTGAGGGGTGATTTAATTGAGTTGCACACAACAATGAAGGGTTTGGACAGAGTGGACAGGGAAGACCTGTTTGCCCTAACAAAGAGGTCAATTACCATATGTCACAGATCTAACATTAATGGTAGAATGATTAGTGGGGACATGAGAAAAACAGTGTCCACACAGAGGTGGTTCACATCTGGAATTTGCTGCTTGGTTTGGTAGTTGAGGAAGAAATCCTCAACTTATTTAAAAGGAACGTGAATCGGCACCTGAAGTGCGGTAACCAGCAAGGCTATGGGTCTGGTATTAGAAATTGGCATTACAATGGGCCTTGTTTATCTGGCCACCACAGACACAATAAGCTAAATGGTCTCTTTCTGAGCTGTAGCGTTTCTATGCTTCCAATGTCAATCGGTGCCCAACTGCTGATTTGATTCTCCACATCTCATTGCAAGCCTCTTGCAGAAACATTGATTGGTGGAGCAGCTCTCTGCTTCCTTCTTCTTGAGCTCCTCCAAACACTGCAGTCCATTGAGTTAGCACTCTTAACAACAGGAACTTTCACTGATTTTTTTTCTTTAAAAATGTGACTGGTAGTTGATTATAGCAGCCTACAAATTGACCGATTTTTAAAAAAATGTCAACAACTGACTGTCACTTGTTGCTTCTCTGAAACTGACAGACTTGATCATTTTCAGCCCAACTGTCCATAAACCAACACAGCTTCCCATGAAGCAGCTCAATACAATATCAGCAGAAGACTGTTATTCTTAAGAAATTCCCAAATTCAAGATGTAAAGGCCAAATGATGCATTTCTGATATTCTCTTTATCCTGTTACTAGGCCCTTGCTAAAAATTTCTCCTCCCCAAATACACTCTGTTACCTCATCAAAAATCTCCAGAAAGTTAGCTGAATATAATTTTCTCTCAACAAAGCTGTCTTGGCTTAAGTCATCCGCATTTGCTCAAGTGATTATTAATTTTGTCCTTAATTATGCCTTCTAGAAGCTTCCCCAAATCTGAGGTTAAACAGGTTGGTCTGTAGCACCGGAGCTTATCTTTACGGTTTTTTGAACACAGGTGCAACATTTGCAATCTGCAGTACTTTGGCACCACTCCTGAGTCCAAGACTGAAAAATTGTGACTTTTGCCTGAGCAATTTCCACTTTTAGTAGGATGCTTCTCATCTGGTTCTGGTATCTTATCTAACTCTAAATACTGACAAACTATCCAATACCTCCTTCTTATCAATTGTAAACTCTTCAAGTTTTTAAATGTCCTCTTCCTTCACCATTGCCTGTTCAGCATTTTGTTCCTTGGTAAGGAAGTGTACATTAATACCACAGCCATGTTCCCCAGCCTCCATCAGCATAATCTCTAATTTTGTTTTCTTCCACGTGGCCCTGTGTGACACCAACTTCCAAAACCAGAACTCATTGCCATGGAACATCCTGCATGCAACATGCAAGGGACATCAGGGCCAATGTCCCATTCCACCTTTTCACCAATGTTTTACAATGACATCCCTACAGAATACTTTTCACTTCCCCATTACATTAGATGTTAGTCTCTTTCCATACTCTGTCTTTTATATGCTTCTTCATTTCTCTGAACCATCAATATTCAGCCTGGTTCTGGATTGTGCTGTCCACCCGACATGTCATAATCATGCATTTTTTTCTTCATCTTAATCTCTATAATCTTTGTGGGAATTTAGGATTTGTTTGCTTTTCTCCACCTCGGGAATGCAGCTGGCCTATTGTTGCAATACAGGGACAGCAAGCCAAACCAAAACAGGCTCATCATCACTGGATTCACAATAGAGTGAACTTAAAAATATCAATGACCCTCAAAATTACTCAACTATTTCTCACCACACTGTGCAATAACTATCTTTTCTCTACAGACAGCCATTGTTCAGATAACAATTTCGCTGTCGACTTTTAACTCCATTTGATCTGGGCCCAATCCATTCTCTAGCTGATTAAGTTATGAGGGCTTGAGGGCTTAGTGACAGGATGTGGAGATCTGGTCCACCATGGCATCCAGCTGCCTCTGTTCCAGCCTTGGGTTTTCATCATGAGGTAGCGGCCACAACTACAGCATGAATAGAGTTTCAGAGGTCAAAATGTCAGGTTAATGGGTTACATTTACAAAATCGGGAATCAGTGATTGGAAAATGGCATGAGTCATGTTTTCCAAACCAAAGATGGAAACACAAGCTATCAGCTCTCTTTCAGTCATGCCTGGAAAGATGGTGCAGGAGGGAGGGTTTCAGATTCCTGGGACAAGCTGGATGAATTGCATAAAAACACAGCCAGGACTGAGTTATTTGAAAGAATTTTGCTAGTGCCTTTCGGAAGGCTTTGAACTAACTTGGCACGAGTGCAGGAACCAAGAAAGAACTGTACAGGAATATAACAGGGCTTGCAAAATACTTAGGGATACAGGTGACACCGGCATAGAGTTAGTAAGTTAATGGGCAAAGTTGGAAGGGGGGAGAAAGAAAGGAGGTTGAAAACAAGAGTCAGCATGCATGTATATTAATCTACTGGCTTCACAAAGAGAAACACTCCAAATATCTTGGCCCAAATCCACCTTAACCAAAAACATCAAATTCAGCCCAATAGTGATAATGCATAAGGAGATGTCAACAAGCAGCTATCCTAACTTCTGGAAAAGATTTTTTCATATTTTGCAACTCTCACCAAAACAGATAACCTATCTTCCTAATGTTTAAAAGGATGAAATTGGAAATAACTTCACAGCATGACATTTGAACAGACATCACCTGCCCATCAAAAGTACATCTACACGAAATAATTCAGAGATAGTAAGAACTGCTGATGTTGGAGTCAGAGAATAACACACTGTGGAGCTGGAGAAACACAGCAGACCAGGCAGCATCAGAGGAGCAGGAAGCTGACGTTTCTGGTTGGGACCCCCCGAAACATCAACTTTCCTGCTCCTCTGATCTGCCTTGCCTGCTGTGCTCCTCCAGCTCCACACTCTGTGACACAGAACAGTACAACACAGTACAGGCCCTTCGGCCCACGATGTTGTGCCGAACTTTTACACTAAACCTAAGGTCTAACTAACCTCCACCCCAACCTTACACTATCATCCATATGTCTATCCAATAGTCGCTTAAATGCCCCTAATGAGGCCGACTCCACTACCCTCTCCGGCAATGCATTCCTCGCCCCTACCACTCTCTGAGTTAAGAACCTACCTCTGACGTTTCCCCTATATCTACCTCCACTCACTTTAAAACTGTGCCCCTCGTAATAGCTACCTCCACCCGAGGAAAAAGTCTCTGGCTGTCTACTCTATCTATACCTCTGATCATTTTGTACACCTCTATCAAGTCACCTCTCACCCTTCGTCATTCCAAAGAGAAAAGCCCTAGCTCCCTCAACCATTCCTCGTAAGACCTTCCCTCCATTCCAGGCAACATCCTAGTAAATTTCCTCTGCACCTTTTCCAACATTTCCATATCTTTCTTGTAATGAGGCGACCAGAACAGGACACAATACTCCAGATGTGGCCAAACCAGGGTTTTGTATAGCTGGAGCGTAACTTCACAGCTCTTGAACTCAATCCCTCTATTAATGAAAACTAACACACCATATGCCTTTTTAACAACTCTAGCCACCCAGTGGCAGCTTTCAGGGAACTGTGGACATGAACCCCAAGATCCCTCTGCTCCTCCACAATGCCAAGAATCTTTCCGTTAACCCTGTATTCTGCTTTCAAATTTGTCCCTCCAAAATGAATCACCTCACACTTTTCAGGGTTAAATGCCATCTGCCACTTCTCAGCCCAGCTCTGTATCCTATCAATGTCCCTTTGTAACCTAGAACAGCCCTCCACACTATCCACAACTCAACCCACCTTCATATCGTCCTCCTTACTAATCTACCCTTCCACTCCTACATCCAGATCATTTACAAAAATCACAAATAGAAGAGGACCCAGAACAGATCCTTGTGGTACACCACTCGTAACTGAGCACCATGTTGAATATTTTCCGTCCACTACCACCCTTTGTCTTCGAAGGAACAGCCAATTCTGAATCCAGTCTGCCACATTTCCCCCTGTCCCATGCCTCCTTACTTTCGGCATGAGCCTACCATGGGGAACCTTATCAAACTCCTTACTTAAATCCATGTATACCACATCCACTGCTCTACCTTCATCCACGTGTTTGTTTAACTCTTCGAAGAATTCAGTAAAGTTTGTGAGGCATGATCTACCCCTCACAAATCCATGCTGACTATCACGAATCAAACTGTGCCTATCCAAGTGATCATAAATCCTATCTCGCACAGCCCTTTCCAATAATTTGCCCACCACTGATGTAAGACTAACTGGCCTGTAATTTCCGGGGTTATCCCTATTCCCTTTTTTGAACAAGGGAATGATGTTTGCCACTCTCCAATCTTCCGGCACTATACCCATGGACAGTGAGGACGAAAAGATCATCGCTAAAGTCCCTGCAATCTCTTCCCTCGCTTCCCATAGAATCCTTGGATAAATCCCATCAGGTCCGGGGACTTATCTATCTTCAAGTTCCTCAAAATTCCTAGTACATCTTCCTTAATAACATCCACCTCCTCTCGCCTACCAGCCTGTTTCACACTTTCCTTGATCCTATCTGCCAAGGTTTTCTCATGCCCCCTTATAGCTCTCCTAAGCCCTTGCTTCAGCTCCTTCCTGGATAACTTGTATCCCTCTACAGCCTTTTCCGATCCTTGTTTCCTAAACCTTATATAAGCATTCTTCTTCCTCTTAGCTAGTCGTTCGACCTCTCTTCAGAACCAAGGCTCCCTCACTCGACTGCATCTTCCCTGCCTGCTAGGGATAAACATATCGATCACACGCAGTATGCATTGCTCAAACAATCTCCACATTTCTATAGTGCTCTTCCCTGACAGCATCTGTTCCCATTCTATATTACCCAGTTCTTGCCTAACAGATTTATAATTATCCTTCCTCCAATTGTAAACCTTACCCTGCTGTATGTACCTATCCTTTTCCATGACTATTGTAAAAGTAACAGAGTTATGATTGCTACCACCAAAATGCTCTCCTACCAATAGGTCTAACACTGGGCCCGGTTCATTGCCAAGCACCAAATCCAAAGTGGTCTCTCCTTGTGTTGGTCTATCTAAATACGGTGTCAGGAATCCCTCCTGAACACACTGGACAAAATCCGTTCCATCTAAACTATTGCAACTAAAATGTTTCCAATCAATATTTGGAAAGTTGAAGTCACCCATGACTGCAACCCTGTGACTTCTGCACCTTTCCAGTATCTGCCTTCCAATCCACTCCTCCACTAAGAAATTGTAACTTCCACACTGGGGATTGCTTCTGCACTGAACATGAGGTCTGTCTGACCTCAACACAAAGTTCAGACGGCCCTTCTGTGTTCTGGCTTCCCTCATGTGAGAGTCATGCCATATCGCAAACATGGTATCTGTCAGAAGTAGCCTCAGGATTTCCGAATCTGGGTCTCATCTGCCATTTTCAGAGGTCCACGAAGTCTTCAGCTCTGAAAATCCAGCCCCATGCATCCAAAACAAACCCATATAGACATCAAGGACCTCAAAGAACTTAAACAAGTCTTCTTTGTAAAATTACTAATTGTCAATAGCAGTGGAACATACCTTGAATTTTGTAGAACCATAAACTTTTTGAACAGTATTGAAGATGTCCAGAGTCAAATCAAACAATATCTGTATCTGGCTTCCTTCAATGTTCCCAATTCTGAAGGGCGTATTCATATCCACAGCTAGCAATCTCTTCTCATCTTTTACTGTTTAGCACAGAACAATAAATTTAAATGAGTAAAATTCAAGAAATTACACAAGAAATAAAACTTCAGAAAAAGAGACAGGGGTCCACATTTTCATCTGTGAGTTGCAAAGGAGTCAAGAGAATTCTCAGCTTCTTTCAGCTGCCTCAGAAAATACCAGATTCGTTGGCACGATCTTCATTGACAGGATACAACTTGTCAACTGCAGTCAGACAGCCAATCTCTGCTTCTGAACTTAAATACCCTTACAATTAAGGCCAATATACCATTGGCCATTCAAATTGCTTGCTGCACCTCCCTGTCTATTTACATTGACTGGTGTACAATAATAGCCAGAACCCCTTCGTACATCCACATTTCACAAAATATCACTATTTAAATAATACCTTGTTTCTGTTTTTCACATTGAATGTATAACTTCACATTTAGCCACATTGTACTCCATCTGCTATGGGTTTGCCCGCCCACTCACTCAACTTGACAATCACTTTGAAGCCTCCTTGCATCCTCCTCACAACTCACAATAATACCTCGTTTGTGTTGTCAGCAAACTTGGAAATGTTACATTCCAGGTCACTTAGCTATATCATGAATAGCTGGGGCCCAAGCATTAATCTTTGTGGTGCCCACTAGTCACCGTCTGCCTACCAGAAAAAGACCCATTTATTCCCAGACTCTGTTTCAACCAATTCTCAATCCATGCTGTTTGAGGTAAGTTCAGATTTATGTTGTAAGGGATAAATGATGTTTCTATGCTAAAAGAAACTTAGAGGCTAGATCAGCAGATCTCTGATGGTACCTGCCCCAACAGGAGACAATGTTAATGAAAACATTCTAAGATGGCCTTGGAGAAAAAGACTTCGCAGAACAACCACTGACAAAGGAAGAGAAATAAACATCCATAGCGAGGCAAATTGTTTACTCTCTTGCTGGCTGAAGTAGACCTTAACACATTAACCTATGACAGAGGAGAGACAGCTGTTCATTGTGTATGGAAGAATATTGGAATGTGGATAATGATACACCAGCAGAATAACAATAACTTTTCGGTATGCTTCAGAGTTTTGTTTCAACCTGCTAACTAAGGCAGATCTCTCCGTGAATCACTTGAATAATTTGTATCAGTTGATTAATTACTTTTTTTTATTCACTGATGGGACGTGGGCATCACTAGTTGGGCCAGCATTTATTGCCCATTTCTAGTTGCCCTTGAGAAGGTCGTGGTGAGCTGCCTTCTTGAACCACTGCAGTTCACGTGCTGTAGGTAGACCTACAATGCCCTGAGGGAGGGAATTCTAGGATTTTCTTCCAGTGCCAGTGAAGGAACAGCAATACAGAAGAGGCAATGGCCCAATGGTATTATCGCTGGACCTTTAATCCAGAGACCCAGATAATGTTCTGGGGATCCTGGGTTTGAATCCCACCATGGCAGATGGTGGAATTTGAATTCAATACAATATCTGGAATTAAGAATCTAATGATGACCACGAATCCACTGTCGATTGTTGGAAAAACCCATCTAGATCACTAACATCCTTTAGGGAAGGAAACTGCCATCCTTACCTGGTCTAGCCTATACGTGACTCCAGACCCACAGCAAAGTGGTTGACACTTTACTGCCTCTGGGCAATTAGGAATGGGCAATAAAAGCTGCCTAGTCAGTGACACCCTCATCCCATGAATGAAGAAAGAAAAAAAATTTCCAAGTCAGGGTGGTGAGTGTCTTGGGAGGGGAACTTTCAATTGGAGGTGTTCCCATGTATTTGCTGCTTTTGTTCTTCTCGATAGTATTGGCTGTGGGTTTGGAAGGCATTGTCTCAGGGGTTTTGTTGAATTTCTGCAATGCACTGCTGCTACTGAGCGTCACTGGTGGAGTGGGTGAATGTTTAGGGATGTGGGACCAATCAAGTGGGTTGCATTGTCCTTGATGGAGTCAGCTTCTTGTGTCAAGTGTTCAGAGAGTGAAGACAACAATGCCATTTTAATTCCCCCAATCTCAAGTGCTTTAATTTTATCCAATAACACTTATGAGATACCTTATCAACGGCCTTTTGAAAATCCAGATATAGCATGTACACTGGTTGATCCTGAAGTATTTTATTAGTAACATCCTTAAAAAACACCAATCGATCGGTTAAGCATGATTGAAATTCATAAACCTATATTGGAGATGTCCAAACCTGTTTATGTTTTTTCCAAGTGTTCTGTTGTCACGTCCTTCATGAAATACTCTAGCATTTTCCCCACTACTGGTATCAGGCTAACTCATCCACAAGCAAAAAACATTAATATAAACCCCCAAACTACAGTGATGTCAAGAATGGCATTAAACAGGAAATTAGAGATGCAGGTAATAAGGGAATAGCGGTGATCATGGGTGTTTTTAATCTGCACACAGACCAGGCAAATCAAATTAGCCACAATGCCATAGAGGAGGAATTCCTGGAATGTATATGAGATGGTTTTCTTGACCAATATGTGGAGGAGCTAACAAGACAGCAGGCCATCTTAGACTGGGTGCTGTGTAATGAGAAGGGAATCATTGCCAATCTAGCTGTGCAAGATCACTTGGGGAAGAGCCACCATAACATGATAGAACTTTTGTATCAAGATGGAGAGGGAGGTTGTTGATTCGGAGACGAAGGTTCTAAACCTTAATAAAGGAAACTATGAGGATATGAGGCATGATTGGCCTTGATAGATTGGGGAGAGTTGCTTAAAGGGATGACAGGGGATAGGCAATGGCAGACATTCAAGAAACAACTGCTTATTCCTGTCTGTCGCAAAAGCAAAATGGCTAAGAGGGCCAATCCATGGCTTACAAAGGAAATAAGAGACAGTATCCAATCCTAGGAAGAAGTACACAGATTGGCCAAGAAAAATAATAAAACTGAGGAATGGGAGCAGTTTAGAATTCAGAAAAGAAGGACCAAGGGACTGACTAAGATGGGGAAAATAGAGTATGAAAGTAAGCTTGCAGGGAACATAAAGACTGGCACTAAGAGTTTCTATAGGTACATTAAAGAAAGAGATTGGTGAAGGCAAATGTAGGTTCCCTACAGACAAAAGCGGGAAAATGTATAATAGGGGACAAAGAAATGGCTGAGGAACTCAGTACATACTTTGGTTCTGTTTTCACAAATGAGGACACAAATCAGATACCAGAATCGTTGGAGGACGCAAGATTCAGCGAGAGGGAAGAACTGAGGGAGCTCAATATTAGTTGAGAAATGTTGCTGGGAAAATTGTTGGGATTGAAGGTCAATAAATCACCAGGGCCTGATAATCTACATCCCAGAGAACTTACGGAAGTAGCTCTAGAAATAGTGGATGCATTGATGGTCATCTTCCAGGATTCTATAAACTCTGGAACAGTGCCTGCAGATTGGAAGGTAGCTAATGTCACTCCAATATTCAAAATGGGAGGTAGAGAGAAAACAGGGAATTATAGAACAGTGAGCCGAACATCAGTAGTAGGGAAAATTCTCAAATCCACTGTCAAGGATTTTATAGCACAGCATTTAGAAAGCAGTGGCAGTATCAGACAGAGTCAGCATGGATTTATGAAGGGGAAAACATGCTTGATAAATCTATTGGAATTCTATGAAGATATAACTAGTAGAGTTGACAAGGGGAAGCCAGTTGATGTAGTATATTTGGACATTCAGAAAGCATTTGACAAAGTCCCACGTAAGAGATTAATGTGTAAGATTAAAGTGCATGGGATTGGTGAAGTATATTGAGATGGATAGGAAACTGATTGGCAGACAGGGAACAAAGAGTAGGAAATAATGGGTCCTTTTCAAATTAGCAGGCAGTAACTACTGGGTTGCCATAGGGATCAGTGCTGGGACCCCAGCTATTCACAATATATATTAATGATTTGGACAAAGGAATAAAATGTAACATCTCTACTTTTTTAGATGATACCAAGTTGGGTGGGAGGATGAACTGTGACGAGGATACAGAGATTCTTCAGCATGATCTCGACAGGTTGGGTGAGTGGGCAAATCAATGGCAGATGCAGTACAATTTGGATAAATGTGAGGTTATTCACTTCGGAAGCAAAAACAAGAAGGCAGATTAATACCTGAATGGCTGTAAATTGGGACAGGGCAGTATGCATGAGGACCTGGGCATCCTTGTGCACCAGTCACTGAAGGAAAGCATGCAGGTGAAGCAGGCGGTAAAGGAGTATGGAAGAAATTAGCATGTTGTAGAAGGTTCAAGAAAAGTCAGTATCGAAAAGGCAAAAAGACTATGTGACTGACAGAACATTAAAAGGAAGTGTCAACTCAGAGTGTTCAAACCCCCCTAGTTCTTCATAACTGCTATCTTAGTAAAACCTAATCACATTTTCACCCTAGTCAGTAAAATAAGTGCATGTTAGCTCAACATTAACAGAACAATGAAGCCTGCAGCTCAGGAAGATGATGAGATTTCTGGAAAACATTAAGCTTTGGACTATGGAGCGGCACGATGGCTCAGTGGTTAGCACTGCTGCCTCACAGTGCCAGGGACCCAGGTTCGAATCCACCCTCAGGCAACTATCTGTGTGGAGTTTGCACATTCTCCCCATGTCTGCGTGAGTATCCTCCAGGTATTCCGGTTTCTTCCCACAGTCCAAAGACGTGCATGCTAGACGGATTGGCCATGCTAAATTGCCGGTAGTGTTCAGGGATGTGTAGCTTAGGTGGGTTATCGGGTAATAGTTCTGGGTGGGATGCTCTGAGGGTTGGTGTGGACTTGTTGGGCCAAAGGGCCTATTTCCACACAGTAGGGATTCTATGAAATCACTGTTATCTGTCGAGTTGACTTGTTTGTCTCTCTATATAAATATCCTGCAACTCTGCATTGCTGCAGAGTCTTTGGTATCTAACTTTTGCGTTGACTCTCCGTGATATCACAAATAAAAAGTTCTCTACCTCGAAGTCTGACAGCTGCAGTCCAGTTATTCACGTATTAGAAGAAATTCTCGAACAAGGAGGCAAATGGTATGT